CGACCACAGCACAATACAGCAAGATGCAAGATCATATTCATACAAAGTGTCATGACAGGTTCACGCAATTGCTGGAATCACTTTTTGACACAGCAGGTGTCCGGTGTCACTCAAAACCCGGCATGCCACAGCAAAGATTTGCACGGCGTGCGGGAGGCATCCATTGGTTCAGCCATCATAGCCATAGGCCCTTGCTTCTGACAGGATCCTGAACCTCTTGCCATCCGGTGCAAAGTAGTACTTGTCCTTCTGCTTTCCATCGCCCCTCGTACGAGTTTCCACTCTCCATAGGCTGGTAGAACTGGCACTGGTAGAAGGCTTCTTCTGGGGCATGAAGCAGGGGAGGCTGCAGGCCTTTTCATGGCAGGTTTCTTCAAAACCTTTGCGTCTTCACCTTCTTCAACGGCTCCTTTTTGTTCTTCTTCTTCTTCCACAGCTTCTTTCTGAGTCTGACGCTGCTTTGATCTGTTGCTCCACGCGTTGAGCATCATGTCTGCCTGTTGAGCAGGCTTGAGTGGCTGCATCCGATTCTCATCTTCCTGAGGAGTTTCCTGCAGCTCTTGGTCTGCGGCTTCCGGTTGCTCCTCAGCATTTGTCAAAGCCAACTGTGTCCTTGCTCGTTGAGGCCTGTGAGCAGGCTGAGACTCTTGATGGTGACCATGCGACCCACCACCGCCGAACATGTGAAACATCTGCGCCATGGTTTGGAAATGCATCATGAACTGGCCCATGTTGGCAGCCATGGCAGGCATTGAAGAGTTTGTGCCCATGCATGTGTTTGCGCTGGTAGGGGCCAGGTCAAGCTGCATACCTTGCTTGCCCATGCAAGTGTCCCAAACAACATGAAAACAGAAACAACAATTTGCCAACGAAGCAAATGTGTTGTTTATAAACTTGGTCAGAATCCCTAAAAACTATTGCCAGGTGAATCAGCGCAGCTGCCAGATCCCATGGACGAAGAACTTGCACCTTGCACCAACCTAGAACTCCTCCTGACCGGTCCAGAAATGCCATGAGCCATTGGGCCTTCTTCTCCGCATGGTTCTTCATCAGTGCCATACGCGCGAGTATACAGCTCCGGGGGTAAACCAGATGCACTAGCAGGAAACTCTGTCAAATGCACTGCCGCGGCCGGAAGTTTCACTCTTTCCGATCGAATGTAGCTTTTGAGCTCAGTGACAGCGTCCACGTAAGCCTTTCCAGTTGGAAAGGCATGCGAACCTAGCAGCTCCAAAGTTTTGACCATTCCACCAGTCGTCGGCTCAGTGGGGTTTGTCAACCCAATGAGCACTGCCCTCCGTGCCATCACCATAAGTTTCTGGTGTAGGTGTTCCTTGGACTTGAGGGTCTGCAGCTCAGCAGGTAGCAAGAAAGGGCAAATGTCAACCAATTTCTGAAGGCTCTTCCGTGCAGTTGGCGGCGAGATGCTGGAAGATGCCAACCTGTCCGATGCAGCTTCAATCAACTCACCAATCTGCGCATCGTTCAAGCCTCACTTGGCAAGAGGAAGGCTTGAACAGCGCTATAACAACCGCTGTTTCCAAAACAGTTCCAGCATGGGAAGCGGTGGCCTCAAACCTGGTTTTCTGTTGCCCAAAGGAAGCTCGTCAGGCCACCCCTTTCAAATTGAAGTAATCGATGGGGGTCAGGCGGGTCAGGCCAACACTTCTCATTACCATTGAGCCCTCATGATCTTGCTTATCGAAAGGTGCTCGAATAGTCGACATTTCGAAAAAATACTGACTGAAAGCTGTCTATGGTGAGAAACCCAGTGTTCACAAAACCATCGGAAAAAAACACCACATACTCCAAGCAACCAGACTCGACCATGGCTGTTGAGAATTGCTCGACGTCACCAGCTGACACGGTCAAGTTTTGCAACTGGGTCTTGATGGAGGCACAATGGGCATCACAAATGGCCGCCTTCTGCGCTTCACCTGTCACGGTCTCAAGCATTCTGGTCAGCGCAGCCACCTGCGCCACGATTTGTTCCATGTTGGGCACGCAAAGCTGGAGACTGCACTGAGAGACGCTCAAGCGACGCAAACAAGGAGACATGTTAAGTCAACAAGCTGCCCAAGTTAAGACAAGCGATACTCATCTCATGGCAAATCATGGCAAACGCAAGCCTATAGCTGGAACATGTCAATCCAATTGCGCCCAGCAAGCAAGACTTGCAAGCGTTTTGTTTTCTGCTGCAAGCTCGTCAGGCCACCCCTTTCAAAATTGAAGCAACCGATGGGGGTTCAGGCCAAAACTTCTTATTACCATTGAGCCCTCATGATCTTGATTACCGAAAGGTGCACATTTCGATAAATAGACTGCTTTGAATAAGAGGACAGGAGGGTGGACCATTTTCGGCTCATGGCAACTGCTTTGGTTATCATACGCCACGGCAAACCATTCACGATAGCATCGTGAAGCCCTGGATCTCTCTCGGCTCCATGGATTGGATGTCTCACTGCTGCCCCAAAATCAGCGTGGTCGACTCAGAGCTCTCCTCACTGTCTGTGAGCATGTCGATTCCGCTGGAGTCTGACTCCAACGGCTCGATGTCTTCAAGCCACTGAGGCACATGCGGGCGCATCCCTTCCGGCTTCCACAATAGCTGCTTGAGGCCGACTTGAACCGCCACAATCTTTTGGTTCCACGTGACGAGGTTCAGCCGCACAGCATGAGGGCGAAAGTCGTCCAGCATTGAGGCAACGGTGACTCGGTCTGCCGTGAAGTAGCAAATGGCTCGGTACATGTTGTCTCCACTGAAGGCTGCATTGAAGCAAACCAGCTGCCTGAGGCCGTCATCCGAAGGAATCACATGCAGCTTGACAATCAAGTCCCCCCGAATGGGGCGAATCAGCTTGTCCATGAACTGTTGCTTCTTCCCAAAATACCTCCATCGCAGAAGATCTTCATGTTCATTTGCCTCAAAGAAGGAGAACTTGTGGGTGCTTTCACTGGAGATGGCGGAGCAATGGAAAAAGATGTTGGACCGCTCTTCCACCTTCTTGTTCTGGCCTTCCCAAACCGCGTGCCATTTTCTTGCTTTTGGAAGAGGATCGCCCATCTTGAAGCTGTGAGGAACATCAACCCTCTCGTAGATGATCGGCATGGCCGGGCACTAGAAAATGGGAGCCTGAACAAACACACCAACACACTTGGGCAGCAATGCTCTGCATGCGAGATGTACTCCCTGCATGCGGATGTCCATCAAACAAACAAACCAACGAATCATCACATGCATGTGGCGCCATTGAAGCGCATGAAGTATTCACCTGTCAGCAACGGGGACAAACATGAAAGGCTGAGAACAACCTTTTCCAAAAGTCTTAATGAAAGTGACTTGTTTTTGCCACAATGCATGCCATCTTCATGAGCTACTCTTTCAAAGCTGTGCTTACAAATCAACACCGTGGAAGTCATGGCAAAGTGGTGGAGTGTCATGAACTCTTTTCAAACTTCGCTTCGCTTCGTTGGGATGTTCCGCTTGCAAACCAACAATACCGTGGAAGTCATGGCCAGGTGGTGGAGTTTTAACATCAACATCTTTCGGTATTGTGTTGATTTGCGTACGCAAGCTTCGCACACAGTATTTTCCATTCACTGCGCGAACGTTGCACCATTTTGCAATCTTTCACATCAGAGCTCTTATCCAAGGTCAATGCACCACGTGAAGAGGTGATTTTTTACAGGCTTCATTCTCTCACAGCACCGCCAAGTAAGCTTGAATTACATGAAAGTTTGATGGGAGAAAACAATTTTCCGAACCATTGTTGCACTCACACGAAACGTTCTCGTTGCTGTCTGGCAACGATCTCTGTTGACACTTCCTGAGAGTATGTTTGCTTCAGTGCTTCGTTTGCCTCCAGCATGCCTAGTGACCATGTGAAGTTATTTTTTCGATCTATAAATAAACTATATATCAAACACAAAAAAGTGTATCAATCTATAAGACAGTCATAGATCAAACACAAAAATTTTATCAATCTATAAAAAAAAAGCCATAGATCAAACACAAAAATTGTATCAATCTATAAAAAACCATAGATCAAACACAAAAAAATATCAATCTATAAAAAAAACGCAGATCAAACACAAAAAGCTTATCAATCTATAAACTCTGAGTGTCACTCCCAAACAGCCAACACAGTCCCAAAGTCGACCAACAACAGAGTTTCGAAAACACATCTGCCTTAAATTTCCTGTGACAAGCACACTTTTCTTACCTCTCCACTTCCAGTGACCGTGTCACAGACGAAGAACGAAGTGGATCATAC